TTCAAATCACTAAACTCAAAAATCAATTGAACTTCAAATTAAATCTAACAACATTATAACTAACACACTTCTATATTAAACTAAACAAGAACAAATGAATAAAAAGAAACTGAAGAAATAATCAAGAAATGAACAAACATATACTGATTTCAGATCCGAGAATATCAAACAAAATACGGACAGAAATGAAACTTAAACCAACTAACCGGAAATGAACAACGACGAACTCGAACGGAAACGGAAAACTCGAACCAAGACGGCCAAAGACCTCGACGTGAGATGAAGCTGCTGCTGGTAGACGACCTCGATGATGGTTAACGACAAGCTGCAGCTGAGTTTCCAGGGGTGGTCGTTTGACGATGAAACTGGACGAAAATGGTGTTTGCGAGGCTGTGCGATGGGCTGAACAAGGAAGCAGTTGCGTTTGGTGTTATGGTTGTTTGGACGTAAGGCTGTGTGTGTGTGTGGAGGTGAAGCAGCAGCAGTGGTTGCTGGACATGAAGCGACGATGGTGGTCGTGGGACTTCGAGCTGGAGTTGCTCGCTGGTTGAAGACGAAGCAGAAGAAGCAGCAGCATGATGAAGAAGAAGAAGCAGCAACGTTTGGTTTGGAGGTGTTGCTGCTTGACGTGATGGGGATGAAGAAGATGCAGAAGGGCAGCCATGGGAGCTGGAGCTTGGGGTCGTTTGAGACCTATGGGGACGGGGTGTTGTTTGTTGATGGCTGGACGTAGCAGACGAGGCAGTAGCCATAGTGGTCGTGGGGCTGCTGGACGTGAGGGGGGCAGCCATGGGACGTGAGGTGAAGCAGATGGAGAAGGGCAGCCATGGGAGGAGGGTTTGGAAGGAGAAGAAGAGGGGGCGGGTATTTTTTAGGTTAGGGTTTTCAAAAAATGAAAAATGAAAAATTGGAAGAAGAGGGGTGTTTTACTTGGGGTTATGGGGCGGACCGGGGTGGGTCGACCCGGTAGGAGTTTATTTGGTTTGGGCCTGGTTGATTTAAATTAAAAGGTGGCCCAATCCGATTTTCTTCTTATTTCCAATGCTTCTTTTTTTCTTCTTTTATTTTTTCTTAACTAAAACTAAATTCTAAAAATCCTATTATCATATAGAACTAAATTAATTTATAAAAGTGCAAATTAACTCTCAATAACAATTAACACACAATTAAATAGTAATTACGATAAAATCACACAATTTGGCCATTAAATGCTAAAAAGCAACGTACATTATTTTTATGATTTTTTGTTCTTGTAAAACAAATTTAATTGCTCCTAGTTGTAGAATTAAATCCTAAATGCAAATGCGACATATTTTTGTATTTTTTATTGATTTAACAAATAAACATGCATGGACAAATACAAATAATTATCCCAAAATACCACAAAATCCTCAAAATTGCACACAAAAGAAAAATTGTTTTTATTTCTAATTTTTTGGGAGTAATTCTCTCATAGGGCAAAAATCACGTGCTTACAGTGGGGTTATCTAGAGCAAGTGTTGACACATCTGCAGTTGCCAGGGATATTTGTGCAATGGATTATGAGCTGTGTTATAACAGTCTCATACTCCATTATGATTAATGGGCAGCCTACAAAGCCATTTCAAGCTAAGAAAGGGTTGAGACAGGGAGATCCCCTATCTCCTTACCTATTTGTGCTGGTTATGGAGTATTTGACAAGACTTTTGAAGACACTTAAAAAGGATCCTAATTTCAACTATCATCCAAAATATAGCAAACTGAACATAGTGCAATTGAGCTTTGCTGTTGATCTATTACTATTCTGTAGAGGTGATGCCATATCTGTTCAACTACTATTTCAGTGCTTTCAATAATTCTCAAAGGCATCGGGGCTAGTGGCAAATGCTGATAAAAGTTCCATATTCTTTGGTGGAGTGCATGATGACCAACAACAGAAGATATTACAAGACTTGGGTTTTGTCAAAGGAACTCTGCCGGTTAAGTACTTGGGGGTACCTCTAAGCCCTAAGAGATTATCAGTAATACAGTGTCAGCCTCTGCTTGAGAAGATGCTAGGGAGAATCCAATCCTGGACATCAAAGTTCCTGTCATATGCAAGAAGAATTCAGTTAATCAAGAGTGTGTTATTCTCTATCCAAGTATACTAGTCTCGGGTGTTTGTGTTGCCAAAGAAACTCATCCAACTTATTGAAAGAGTATGCAAAACATTCCTTTGGACTTGGGGTGTAGAAATATCAAGGAAAGCTTTATTGTCATGGGACAGCTTGTGCAAACCTAAAGCGGTTGGTGGTTTAAATCTGCTGGCTATAGAGGAATGGAATAAGGGAGCCATATGTAAACTCCTTTGGAACCTTTGCAAGAAGAAAGATAGGCTATGGGTGCAATGGATACATGTGTATTATAAGAAGCAGAATGCATTGTGGAATATTGTACCAAAACAAGCCTCTTGGATAGTACAGAAGATATTTAAAGCCAAACAATACTTTGAGGAAGCTGGTTATACAGAGGAGGATGTAGAGGGGATAAACAACTTCTCTATTAAGAGTATGTATGGGAAACTGAGGGGTGACTTTGATAGAATACCATAGAGGAAATTGGTGCACAACAGTGTTGGAGTACCAAAATGGAACTTCATAGTCTACATAGCTGCACATAGAAAATTAATGACTAAAGACAGGCTGAGGGGTTTGGGCTATGTGGAGGATGTAACATGTTCTTTATGTAACAGTAAAGAGGAGACAGTGGATCATTTGTTTTTTAAATGTACCTATTCATCAAGTGTATGGACAGCAATGCTGCAATGGAAAGGGATCCAGAGACAACCAATGATGTGGGCAAATGAACTTGAATGGGCAGGAAAGTACTACAGAGGGAGGAGCACAACAGCTGAGTTGTATAAACTTGTGTTGGCAGGAACACTGTATTACATATGGCAAGAGAGGAATGACAAGATCTTCAAAAGAGTGCAACGATCAGAAGTCACTCTACGCAGAGCAATTACACAGGATGTTCATGGGAGAGGAGAAAGTAAACACAGGATACAAAGAAGACTACGGGAACTCAACTACTATCCTAGTATGTAAGGATTGTTCTATAGATAGTAGTTAGACTAAATTGTTTCTTGTAATATTAGTTGATGAAGCCAGGAATGGAGCTAAAATTTGGGATGTATGTCCAGATTAAGCTCGAGTATAGTATGTAAATATTTGTTGAGAAATGAAAAATTTTAATTACCAAAAAAAAAAAAGTAAAATGCATTTCAAGGAATATAAAGCAAAAAAAAAAAAAAGATCATAATATAATAAACAAAAAATTAACTAAAGATGATTGCAGAAATAACTAATAAATAAATAATCCTAATTAATTAAAAGTATTAAAACAGTATACTTGATGTGGAGGATGTTTGGATACAAACTTTCAACCAAAACATAACAAAGCACTAACTAATTTTTCCTATAACTAATACATATAAACACACAAAAAGAAAAATATATGGGTTGTGTCAAGGGAATTCAATATATAATATATACGCATTAAATAAAATTTATGTTTGACCTTAAATTTTTTTACAATAGCCAGGTTAAAACCTACCCGAGTTACCGTGTGCTTAAGTTGACTTTATTTTATTAACAACAGGAAGAATGAACGAATGTAGGCAGACACTAACTAAAATCCCGTGTAAAATAGTATAAAGAAAAATTCCAGCACTGTGTGGGAATCGAACATGCGACCTTACTCAAAGCCTGAACCCCTTGACCATTGAGCTAAGATTTTGGCTTGTGTCAACGAGATGCAACATATATTATATACCCAGGAAAACAAATTTAACCCTATATATACATTATAACCTTTTGGCGAACGGAGTTTGGACGAACCCCTTCCGTCCGCCTAGATCCACCCATGCCGACAGGTATAGATACCTAACTTTTTTTCCGGCAAAGAATATTTCATATCACCCAGAACTCCTCCCGCTTTTGATATGCTGGGCATCATAGTAGTATTACAAGTACCAGCACTAAATCATCTCCAAACACGACATCATTGACTTACTCTCATTAGGATCACTTGTCTTATTCTCACTGGAATTACTTGTCTTCACATCCAGCGGCCACCTTTAGTCCTTTTTATAGAAAAGGATTTAAGCTGCAGTTCCCTAGCATAAGTTGAAGTTGCAGCCTAGAATTCTTGTTCTGAGAATAGCTTAGAAAAGTACAGACAACAATTGCTAATAATAAGTCTTAGACTGTAAATATCTCCTGAATCCAGCTATCGACTACCCAACTTAAATCAGCAATAAATAGGAAACCTAGGTAATAAATAGCTAACGATTAACTAAAAGGTTTGATACATCTAACTGAAACCAAGAACCCAAAATCAAAAAGGGGATCCTGACAGAATAAAAATGAATAAGGTGCTAAAAGTTTATAGCCTTTGCACTCTTAGGTCTGTTAAAGTAATTTACAAGCCACTCACCTGATAAGGATTATGTCCAGGCATAAGCGGCATTTGTCCAGCTTGTTGCCTGTTGAAGCCTCGTCCTGGTGGAAACATCTGATTACCTCCTGGATTTTGAGGGCCTTGCATGTTTGGCAGTCCACCTGGAGGAACATTGCCCTGTGGTCCAGATCCAGAAGGCATGCCCACAAAATTGTTAGGTATTTACCATAATTTTCTTATCATATTTGGTTTTCCTATTTGTTGAAGGAAATGGCAATATAATTACCTTAATTGGGTTTTCCTTATTGTAGAAGGAAATTATAATTCTCATATACTTGGCTAGTCCTTTTTCTTGTAGGAAAAGGTTTGGACTTCTATAAATTGAGGATTCGTCCTTCTCATTCAGCAGCATCCACAATGTAGCCATAGGGGCTTGAGAGTAGTGTTTAGGGAGAGAACTTTACGGGACAAGTGTTAGTGTGTCACTTGTATTTGCCTCTTCGTGAGGTTGTTCTCTCGATAGTTTGTACTCTTTTTTTTATATAGTGGATTGTTCATCTCCGTTGTAGATGTAAGTCAGTTAACCGAACCACGTTAAATGTTTGTATCTCTTTTGGTATATTTCTTTTTGTTGTATAATTTATCGTCGCTCAAGTTTTGTTTTGCTAGCTTCCGTATGACACCTGATTTTTCGGTCCTAACAATGACCTTGAGGCATTGGAGGAACCATCTGATTCATGTTACCTTGTATCCCCTGAAAACAAGAAGACAACCAAGCAGTGATGCTGAAATAACCCCTTGATCCTCTCGATGTATTTCCTTCAAGCAAATGCACTTCGTATCAATCAATCAAATATATGCCACAATTCCAAAGCCGTCGGGTTGCTACCAATTCCGCTCTATTCAAGAAGACACAAAGATGCTAATGAAATTTGATCCATGCAAGTTGAAAAGTGAGAACCGTCTCGTGTAAAAGCTTTAGCAGTTAGAAACATGACGCATGTATTGATGTAACTTATGTCATTAAACCTCGCCCTCTCACGTGCAACCCTGAATTTTTCCCCTTGTCAAGCACATGAAAATATTTTGTAGATCGATGACGGGAAGGCTTGAGGACCCTCTGCCTTTTATAATACCACATTGAACTGCGTGAACTGTCTAATTTAAAAGTTTAAAACTCTCGGATAGGGGACACTTTTACTGTAATTTATTTTATATCTGCAACAGGTGCAAAGAAAAATTGTAACCATTTGGCTACAACTGTCATCTCAATACAAATACATGACTAACGCCTCGGAAATTATTATGGCCTTAAACCTAGAATATCAGTAAAATAAAGTTGGAATCCTACAAAAAGATAATCTCTGTTTCACAACACTTATTCTTTAATATCAAAGTTTTATAAGCACTTTGCACAAAATGAATGTGGAAAATCTACACAAATATTGATTTCTCTTTATTTTTCGTGTGACCTATTGGTCACGGGTTCGAGCCATGGAAGTAGCCACTAATGCTTGCATTAGGGTATAGGGTATGTTGTCTACATCACACCCCTAAGGGTGTGGCCCTTTCCCCACCCTGCGTGAATGCCGGATGCTTTGTGCACTAGGTTGATTTGGAAAATCTACAGAGAAGAAGAGGCATCTTCACTAAAAGAGGGGGGTGGGGGTAG